AGAATTTACGGTTCGGTTCTCGGCGACTATTGCTATATTCCTATCGACCGATTCTGTTGCCTATCATCTCTCAGCTCTCTCTCTCTCTCTCTCTTACTTTTACTTTCTCGTGATATTCAATGTTTGCTTTCATTTATCAATTGTTTTCGTTGTTTTGAATGCAATTATTTTATTGTTCATTAGATTTGTGAATATATTATACAATAGTGTATACAAAACACTCGTCTATTAATTGTCTATTTTTATACACAACTAATCGAAAGAAAAGTTTTAGGAATTAATGAAATCAATACAGAATATAGGAATGAAAAGTATGCGGAACTTTGTATTGAAACTTATCATGTTGATAAACTAATAAATACCATAATAATAATGCTTATTATTTCAAATGTCAAGAAAACACTATTGAAATAATTTATTTTGGATAAATTAAAAAATTAATTCGAATTTGAACACGATAAAATATAAACACACACACACACACACACACACACCCACAAACATTGCATCATCAAGGTGGTCTGCTTTACAGGGGGTAATCAATTAATTTTAAGTTCAATTACCAATTTTTACTATTGTTAGGGGCGTTGGGGGCAGTGTTTTATATAATTTATGATTACGTTATTTCCGTATACAATGACGTTGTTTTGTTTTTTTAAAGCTAAAAATATTATCGTATCTCCAATTTTGTGAATTTTGAACGTTTTTTATGAACACTTTGTCAGCAATAGACGTAATGAATCACGTGGTATACGTTAACACCAATACAGATCACACCCTTCACTGTAATGCTAATGTAATAGAACACAAATTACGTCACTTGTACTTATCACAATTTGTTTACACGATAATACTTGTATAGTTGTATACATATTAGGGATGGAGAGTAAATGTCTCATGTGCATCTAGATAGTGTATTTATTTATTAATCTGTAAAATATACATTTATTGAAAGAGAAATTTCCAAATGGCATTAAAGTATCCAATGTATTTCCTATGGACAATGAGTATTACTCTCTTACTCATTGTCCATAGGAAATTCATTGGGTACTTAATGCCATTTGGAAATTTCTCTTTCAATTATACTTTTTTGGTATTATATAATTTAGTAAAATTAATTATGGTAATTTTTAAATAAATAAATGAAACAAAGAACATGGCAGTGGAATTATCATTATGTTTATTTAATCAAATGTAACTTGGTCTTATTTGATGTTATTTAGGAATCACTATTATAAATAATATAACAATATTTGTAAATGTATTTTTAAATAAAAATAATTAATAATATCGAAATGTGATTCACAGGTGACAAATCTTAACATAATATTATTGTTAAACTTTAGCACAATAAAACTTACATCACCAATATTTAGGTAACATATACTTCAACCAAAACAATGTAGCGCATAAATGTAGACGTAGTTTGACAACCCTAAGCGCTAGTATGTGGTATTGTATACAATGCATGTACATAATGTGCAGTGCACTTGTAATATGCCAACATGCAAATGTAACATGGCCGCCGCACAGATTAATCACACCATTAATCTGCTCAACAATAGGCCAAATGTGACCACCGATGGACTCAACGAAGAGTACGTATCCATACCTAACACTTGGGGCCACACCCGGGCCCACACACCCCACCCCTCCCGACCCCCACTCGCGCGCACACACCGTCTGATTGTGTGTCACTTTTTCTGTCAGTCACTCACTGTTTGTCTGTCTATACGTCTATATTATGATTGTATACACTATTGAAGCGATGGGTTGTTGTGTGCAGTGCTGTCCACACACTGTGTCCGCACAGATGGCCCGCAAAACGAGTGTATTTATTGACAGTATATCTAATGCATTACCGCTTGTATTGACAGCCCTCTGGTGTCATCGATGTCGCCGACGCCCGCCTTAAGCCGTGAAAATCCTCAATACGTGAAGCGCTGTGTAATCATCCAAAAGGACGAAAACGGTTACGGACTTCGGGTCAGCGGAGAGTCACCCGTCTATGTGGACAGTGTTCGCGAAGGTAGGCATCACTACACCCATACACACCCTCCCGGGGCACCCCTTTTCGTGTCCCCCCAATGAGTCCAAAACCATAACAATAGTAGTAAACACTAGTTGTGACGTGTGTTTACTCCCAACTAATCCTCTCTCCCTCTTTACCCCGATCTCTACCCCAACGGCCAGTTGTTTAGCGGCCATGAGTTTCCGTTTGTGTTGCCATTTATTAACTGTTATTTATTGTGTTGTCCGCTGTATAGGAGGGGCCGCGTGGAGGGCAGGCGTCCGGCCGGGCGACGAGATAATCAAAGTGTCGGGCACTTTGGTCACGCGTCTACATCACGGCGAAGTGGTCCGTATGATACAGAACTGCGGCTCATATGTGGGCCTAACGCTGCTGGGGATGAAGACACCGCCGCCCACAGCCAATATGGCGGCCAAAACCATTCAGATAACGGCACCGCAACCGCCGTCGGAGAGCACCCAACAGGCGTACGACGAGACGAAAGCCGAGATAATCAAAGACATGATCCGTCGCCAGAGGGAGCACTTGGAGAAAATGCGGGCCAAACGGAATCAGCCGGAGATCGAGCGCACGGAGAAGACCATACATAAGCTCGAGAAGGAGATCGAGAAGATGACACTCGACGCCAGCCGTCAGCGGCACACGTCGATGAGCGCCGAGAATCTGACCACCGGTTTGGGCGCCAGCGACCCGACACTTACCACCGCCGCCGGCAACGCCAACGCCAAGAAGTCGCACTCGTTTGGTCAGTACGACACGCGGGCGCCCATTATGACCATGGAGTCCGACGACGAGAACGACGATTACGCCAACAATAATAGCACCGCTAATAGCAATAACCGCCGCAACAGTCATCTGCTGAACAACTCCTCCGCAGCGAAGACTGTCTATCCGGACGCCAACGACATCCCGCGCAATGTGGAGCAACTCCACGGCCACAGCCTTCAGATGTCGCGCTTCCTGTTGACGCAGGACCTGAAGCCGCACGCATTGCTCTTCCACACGATGGCCGGCCACGTGTTCCCACTCGTGGCGCAGTCGCCCAACTCGTCCCGCGAGACCGTACAACGGCTCGCGTGGCAAATCGCCGGCACGTGGCTTATGAACGACTCTCCCCTCACGTTTGCCGACTTCCCCGCCGACTCACTCAACCGTTTCGCCACAGCTGTCGAGTCCCGTCAGTCGCCGCTGGAGTCCGTATTCGAGCCGTACTTCGAGCTGACGCGCGAAATACTGCGCGAACAGCTGGACTCGTGGCGACAGGCGGTCAACATAGGTCTGGCGCCGCCCACAATGGCCACCGCCAAAGAGGAACTGCACGCCACTATTGATCTGGTGCTCAACGAGTCCACAGCCATCCGAGAGCTCGAACAGGCGGTGGACGCGTTTGTCGCGCGCGCCAGCGTTAACAACGCGCCGACTCTGGCGGTGGTCACAGCGCTGTTAACTATAGGTCACTATGTGTTTGCCTGTCCGTCGAAGCATCTGCTCCTATCGCAGAGCAATTCCAAGAGCTCCCAACCCGTGAATCCGGTGTTGAAGTTGTCGATCGACCACTCGATGTCCAATAAGAAGCACAAGAGGGCCGTCTCTTTGCCGAACCGGAGCCAAATTCCCGGTCACGTGGAAGCGGGCCATCACTTCAACGCCATTCACGAACTAACGAAACCCCTGTACTGTTCGGCGGGTTGTTTGTGTCCCATTTGGGGCACATATGGCCTGACGTGCGCCCACTGCCAGATGAATGTCCACACCTGGTGTATGAAGAGCACCGCGTCCAACAACCCCTGTCCGGGCCCTCAATCCGACAATCAGTCCAATGAGACGACACCGTCGGCCAGAGTCGGGAAGAAGAGCCGGCGCTGGAATTCCGACAGATACCATACACACCCTCCCGGGGCACCCCTTTTCGTGTCCCCCCAATGAGTCCAAAACCATAACAATAGTAGTAAACACTAGTTGTGACGTGTGTTTACTCCCAACTAATCCTCTCTCCCTCTTTACCCC